GTGCAGTCACCTCGGAGCCTTCAGACATGTATACGGCCATCAGAATACTGCACGTAGAACCGGGATTCGTCTGAAAAGACGTCATTGTGCCACTCCTTTTGTCGTTCTGCGCACCAGAATCGCCGTTTCTCTCTATGCTGCATTGTCAAGGGAAGCCGAAGTAATAGTCGCCGTGCTGATAGTTCAAGTTGCTGCAAACGTCGACTCACCGTACGCATGGATACTAGGCGTGCTGCAAACATACACATTTCTTGACTAATGATCCGTTATGTGGTTGTACGGTTTTTCAAGGCTGACCTCACAATATGTCTGTTCTCTCGGACGTTAGTCAGGGGAGGGCGTTGAGATACTGTGTCCGTTCAGTATGACCCTCAGCAATCTATTGATTCCATATTCGCATGACAGTAGTTGGATGTCGACCAGTGCGATGGGTGATATCACAGAATGATGATCCACACTCTTCATAAGCAACGATCCTACATCTATCGAATTCTGACACTTGCTGGTAAGCATTTCTTATTATTATTCGAGGCATAACACGATATTCTGAGCAAACTCCAACCTTACAATGTACTTTCCGAATAAAAAATCCACTGCACAACCTTTCTATTATGTAGTGCTTCAGATGTCGTTTGTCCCTCCTGCGTCGTCTAAATACGCTGAAATTCTAATCATTTGCATAGCCCAACCTCTTCTTCCTTTCATGTGATTTTGACGTCTGTTAGATCATTCCTTCCTGGTGTTGGAATTTTAATGGCCAACAGTGTATAATGACAAAAATTAATTTAGCAAATTTTATAAAATCAGGACCTTTTTATCAGATCTCATGACTTTTGGAATCTCACAAAATTACCTCGAAAATTTTGCGGCGCACAGAAAACCAACTCAATATATCAAAAAACAGCTTTTAGGAAATTTATATGCTACCCAAAAATGCCATGATTTACAATTCTACTTATTTCATTTACTAAAATTTTAATACCAGTGATATCTGTAATAAAAACAGTTTTATAGTAAGCATTGATATAAAACATCCCTTTTCCAAGTCCAAAATCTCATCTGAAATCCTGCCTGGTCGTTATAAGGAGTCATCACTCCATGCCTAGTCAGAATTAATGAATAATCTGAAAACTATGCTCACCGATTAAAATTTTCAACCAGTGTCCTATTACGTAATTACTTTAGGTAATTATTCTGAAACTGAATGTAAAATCGGACTTCTGCTCACATATTAACGCATGGAGTATGCAAATTAGGCAATTTACAATATGTTGATCAATAAATACATGTTGGAATTCAGGTGTGTAGTGTTGTTTAAAGTTGACGTAGTTTCTGAGGGTGACCAGTATTATTAATTCGTGACACAAATTCATTACTTAAATAAATAGAAAAGTGGCTAGGGAAGTCAAACTCAAAGAAAAGTCGCCTAAAGTCTGAATATCCTTCAACGGTCTTATCATAAACTTGGAATCTCTTTTCAAGGAGCAATTACGTTGATGAAGGTTGGCGGGAGCAGTAACTGAATCCGAAGACTTTTTTCTCCCCCCTGCCGTCTTGAGGAAACCATGAATCTGCAACTACGAGAGAGTTGGTTTTGGTCTTTCAAGCTGTACAGGAACTTAGCTCTTCTCTTGCCGCACGAATTCTTCAAGAAATTGGAATTTATGCGGTAAAGTCAATGGTTTGGATCACATTTACTTCTTCTTCCAAAAGGCAGCATTTAAAGGAATCTCGTTGTAATGTTCAACCCAGAGGAATAGGACCGTGCACTGTTTAGTGACGAATCCAGATGTAGCTTAAACTGTGATTCTAAATATAGCTTGAACTGTGATTCTTTGATTTGAAATAAAGATTACTAATTTTGTTTTCCTTTGTTCATGAAAGATCTCATTCCACGGAAACGGTTTCATGTTATGGTGGGGAATTATCAAAAATGGTCTTCATGATCTGCATACCTTTGATGAAGTTTTTGTAAGCTTCCCATATATGAGAACTAGGTTTTGGAACCCTTTGTAAGTCTCTTTAAGTGTGCTGTTGGACCAGATACTTTGCTAATGAATGACAATACATCTCCAGGTAGAACATCTCTGGTATTAGAAAATTTGGAAGCAGAAGATATCACTGGAATGGGCTGGATTAGCTCACCAAACTAGAACCCTAATAAATGTATGTGGGATGGCTAAGGCAGCCGAACTGCAGCACACCAAATGCTTCTCAAGATCCTTCATGATCTGAAAAGAGCACTTTTCAGAAGAATAATGTGCAATTTCATAAGGTTAGAGTAAATTTGAAATAAAATTGAATGAAATCAAGATGTGATATTTGCATTTCTATTGGAAGAGATCATTTACCATATTAAAGAAAGATTTGTCGAAAAGTAGGGAAATTAATCTTCCCATCATTTCTAAATTTCCATAAATTTGACATTAAACTCCATATTTTGAGATTAAACAGCTGCCTATCATATAATTTATGTTAAATAACGCTTTTATAAAAAGTGTTTTTAATCATTTTAATAAGGTATATCTCCCACCTTACTAGCGTGCCTTCGTGGTGTAGTAGTTCTGCACGCTGGGCCGGTATTCCAGAGGTCCGTGGTTCGATTCCCGGCGAAGGCGGTTGCTAATTTTTCAATCTCTTTTGCTTCAAAAAAAATCCTAATGTCTCTACAGTGGCGCCCGAACTAAAAGGGTTGTGGATTATGACTCTCCACACTCAGGATTTGGCGATTGGGTCCCCTAAAAACCCCAGTCGTCCTTTAAAAGTGGGAGTATATATATATATCTCCCACCTTCCTAGCGTGCCTTCGTGATGTAGTGGTTCTTCACGCTGAGCCGGTATTCCAGAGGTCCGTGGTTCGATTCCAGGCGAAGGCGGTTGCTAATTTTTCATCTTGCCTGCTTCCAAAAAAACTGGATGTCGATGTCTCTACAAAGTAACAATTATGTTTCCTTTTCGACAGTTTCTTTATAAGGTATTTCTCCCGCCTTCCTAGCATGCCTTCGTAGAGTAGTGGTCTGCACGCTGGGCGCGTATTCCAGAGGTCCATGGCTCGATTCCTGGCGAGGGCGTTGCTCATTTCTCATCTTGCCTGCTTCCAAAAAAAAAGCACCTAATATCTCTATACATTTAATTTTGACGGGCAAGATATTTATACGTGATATGTAATAAAAATTGGTGTCTGACATTGAAGAGGAAGCCAGAATAGGAGCATAAATATGAAAATGTAGTCATTGTCAAGTTTATACAGTTCTTTATCTTTAGCTTAGCATTTGTGATGTAAATTCTTATATAACTAAATTGGCGCAAGAAGCGCACCCGTTGTTCAACAATTAGAAAAGTACGTCTAATAAATTGATAAGAATTGGAGATTGGAGAAAGAGAAAGAGGCTGCGTACTGTTACAAATTACATGTTAGACAGAGGCAAAGGTAAGAAGAGCAAGATTATGTTAATCCTGTTAGATTAAGAAAGTTAAAGATTCTTTAATTCTTTGTAGAGGAATAGAATTGCCTAATTGTTGTTAGTTTATTGAAAATTCCGTTCGGTTTATTATTGACTAGCAGCTACGCTGCCAGCCTTCGTCTGGCTTTTAAATGTACCGTAAAAATGCCTGAAGGGAACAACAAACAGTTAAATTTAAAAACTGCGCAGAATTTTACTCTGCAGAAAACTTTCGGGAAAGAAACACAAATTTTTAAAAATATATATTGCATATAAAAAAATTATCCAACTTTCCGTTGAAGAAAAAAAATCATGCAAAACTTTTCAATATCTTACAAACAGTGAAATAAGCAAAAAATAACACGAAAGAAATTCAAAAAACAAAAGCCTCCGCGCAGAATTTTACTCTGCAGAATAACTTTATAAAAAAATCAATAAAAATATATTATATATATAAAAAAATGACAATGAAATCTCTTAAAAACAGTGACATAAGAAATACGATGAAACATTGTTGCCAAACCCATATTTCTAAAAGAATGAAACTATTCAAAATGATGCGATTTCATCAAAAATCTATCAACAACAATAAGAAAGAAAAATTGTTGCCAAAATCACATTGTGATTGTCAAGATGTGAAATGTGAGAAGTGTACTCGGAAGCTTCATTAAAAAAAAAAAAAAAAAAAAAAAAAAAAATTTAATACAAAATATTATCATTTTTCCAAAATTCTTTTTGTAAAAGTCGAATCAAAATCAAAGAAAAGTAAACTGTACATTTTTAAAAATAAACTTTTTTAGAAAAAATCTCGTTGAAAAGGTGTCAAGCTCCCTTTGTTAAATAAATTCGTATTCAATCGATTTATTGAAACACGAAATTTATTTTAAGTTTGTAAAATAGCTAAGTGCCTACGTTTCATGACGATGTGAAAATGGTGTAGAGTAAAATCTCGCTTTCCTATAGCCCATTATGTCTCAAAATGACGTGATTTCGTCACTAAACATAAAATAAAAAAAAATTCGAATTCAAATTTCGAAAAAAATTGCTTCGAGGTGCACTGGCTCTTGTCTAGATGCACGTATGTACCAAATTTCGTAGCCGTGGGTCTATTAGCTTACGCGCAGCGCGAACGAAAGACACACACAGACTCGTTCTTTTATTATATGTAGAGATATAAGATTTTGGTTTTATTTCTTTCATTATATATGTGCACGTGTCATCTGCATTATAGAATGATAATAATAATAAGGAAAATTTATAATAAGAGAAATAACGTATTTCAAAAGATTTATTATTAGTTTGTTACTATTTTCAGAACAGTAAAGAGAAAATCGGATTAAAAAGAGTATTTTATTGACTATTACTAATTAAAGCTAGAATATTTTAGCTTTAATTATACAATTAAATATATTAAGAAAATCTATTACATAAGAATGCACAGAAACATTAACGTTCAAATCTTCATATGCAAAAGTTAGTTTCTTAAAATTTGAGTTGTTTTCTAAGAAGAACTGCGCTTACGAGATTTAATATTCTTGCAATAACTTTCTTTCACAGAAATGGATCAACCTACTCGGCTACCATGGTCTCAAAGAATCTGCTACGGCGTGGGTCATAGTCTTAATGACTTTACTGGATCTATGTGGTTTAGTTACCTCATGGTTTATCTTCAGCTGGTGTTAGGATTCAGTGCCAATTATGCCGGTTTTGTGCTTTTGGTTGGACAAGTGGCAGATGCTATTGCTACCCCACTCATGGGTTACGAAGCCAGCAACAGCAGAGTAGGTGGAATTTGCTATAAATATGGGAGGCGAAAGTTTATTCATCTTTTAGGTAAGTAAAATAATAAAAAAAATTCTGTTCAGAGAATATTTTTAACATTCAAATAACTATGACTTCTTTTATTATTTATCTGAGAAATGAATTTCAAAAATTTATCTAGATTATTTCTGCTCTGAAAAGCACTGAAAAATTATATGAAATTTCACTGCAAATAAGCATATACAAGGCTGTCATAATAAGTTAGGTGGTCACCTTATATATGAATCCATAGCGGCCTATCGCGGCCGAGCGGTAAAGTCGCTGAACACTGATAGTTCGGTCCGAGGTTCGAATCCCAAGAACGGGCTGGATGCATGGGAGTTTTCGTAGTTTTCCCCATGTGTAATGTGTATACGAGCCAGTTTCCCTAAGAAAGGCCTCCACGAAGGTATCCCTTCCCTTAGGCAGATAGCCCTCGAGGCTTTACCATAATGACACGTACACACTTAGCGGCCTATCCGCTGAATCAATCGAAATGAAATTTCATATGTTGGTATTTGAAGATATGCGCTCGATATTGTGATGATTTAACCTTTTGATGGTAGGGCGTTGGCAGCTGTAGGAGGCTTGAAAGGACGGGAATCTTGAACTATATGCTTCCTCCCCCTCTCTTTAAGAAATCACTCCCTTCAAGACGCAAGAGAAACCCGCCGACGTTTAAAATAAAACTGGCAAATCGACAACCTTGTATTCGGCGCGTACATTTTGTAAAATCCCAATCAATTTCGAGGGCAAAACGAGTCCCCCTTCCTCAGGAGAAAAAAAAAAGAAGAATTTTTTGCTCCTGATGAAGGAGCGGACGCTGTCGTTTCAAATATGCACGTTCGGTGACAGTATATTTACCTCAATGACATTCAGATCATCTTTCGATAAGTGAAACGGATTCTTTCATACAGATCATAATCAAGTCAGTGCAAAGCAAAATTTTCAAATTAACCTCACGTATGGTTAACATGTGTCAAATCTGGCTCTATAAAAGCCATATAATATTTCTTTTTCCCCGGTTACCTGACATCCTAACAATTAGCGATTAATCTTTGTTGTGCTTGAGTTGGGGAATATCTTGTGTTTGTTTTAATTATGAATCTAATTTTACCTATGTTTGATTCTTTCAGGAACTATCTGTGTGATACTGAGCTTTCCGTTTATCTTCAGCGTCTGTCCAGGATGTGAGTATTCTAGCCAATTCTCCCTGACAGTCATGATTATTCCTCTTGTTATTATTTTTCAAGTAGGATGGGCAGCAGTCCAAATATCACATCTATCACTTATACCTGTGATTACACCGCATGAGACAGAGAGAGATTTCCTAAATGTGTTGAGGTATGTAACTATGGTGTATCATAAACAACTTGATTTTTCTCAATTGATTACCATAGACATTAAAAGCCGAGATTTAAAATCGGTGATACCGTTAGAATTTCTAACTTAAAATTTGTTTTTACTAGAGGCTATCATCTTATATTTATAGAAGAGATTTTTATTATTTCTCAGGTTCTAAACACTGATCCTCCTACGTATAAATTAAGAGATTTAAACAGTGATGAAATTAAGAAAATTCAATTGATAAAATATGATAAAAAGATGAAATTTTTAAAATTGAAAAAAAAAGGATAAAGCGAAAAGGAAATAAAACTCTTTGTTAAATGAAAAGTCTATCCCGAAAGATTTAATTCTTGGACTGATGAAAAAAATCTTTTAAAATTCTGAATTTTCTTAAAATAATAAAAATATTTAATTTTTTTTTATTTAAATGTTGTTTATATTTTTTATCGTCACTCGTTGCTTTCGTTTTTCTTTTGTCTAACTTATGTTGAATGGCGCCATTTCTGAGCAGGCGATGTATTAATGAATGGTGTTTTTTTATGGCATTCCAAACATCTGAACTTAGAATTGCATTTTGCGATTAATGCTCGTTACTGAGACAGTTTAGACACAATTTATGGGTTTTAACTATGTCATATCTTTGATTGGTTTAATTTCAAAAATGAATCACATTTATGCAGTGGATGATTATTATTTTTGCATATAACACAAATCGAAACACTATCGGTTTTAAACCATCAGAGCCTTGATTTCGAACTCTCTCTCTAACGGATATTTCATTTTATTAATACCACGGTTAATGTTATCCAATAACTGACATCATTTTCTCTAAAAACGAAATTAATTCATCAAACGTAGGAACTTCCGTAGCATTAATGCTTAGTTCAAATTGTTTGCGCGTTTCGAAATCTAGTTTCTGAAGTACGATATTTAATAACAGAATATCCGATAAATTATTTTTCTCATATTTTAAAACATTCAAAGCCCTAACGTTTTTAGTAACATTATCTATTACATATCTTATTCCTTTAGACGATTCGAATGTTAAAGTACGTAAATCCATTATTGACTTTATATGCGTCTCAATTAATATTCTTTTATTTCCATACCTATCTTGAAGAGCTTTAAATAGAGAACTGAAAGTATCATCAACAGTTTCAAGATTTTTTGCTTCATCAGTTAATGCAGCCTTCAAATAGTAGAGTTTCTGAACTTCTGTCAGTTGAGTGTTATTTGCTATGATGTTTTCGAATTGAAGCTTAAAATTATTCCATTCGGTATATTTACCAGAAAACTTAGGAATTGGTAATTCTGGCAAACGTATTTGTACTTTAGGATCAAATTTACTACAATCACTTTCATTTTCAGAATGTGCTATAGATGATAGAATTTCGATAATTCTTACCTCCAGAACTTCAGTTCTTTCTTCCATTTCGCCGATTTCTTCATCGATGGCTGTGACATCATTTTCATCAACGCTTTCGAAATATGTAATATCTCAAGTTTCTAATATCCATTTGAATGCTTTGTAGCGATCTATACTTTATTTGAATTTCATTCTTATTCGAACTATCATCATATTCCTTCACTACATTTTCTAACCTAGTTAGTTTCGCTTTTAACGAAGTTTTGTTTCTATCTAATGCCAGCATTTTGTTTATTTCTTCGGCTCGACGGACCATGTACTGTGATTCTAAACTAATAAGTGGACTGTATAGCAAAGAACTAACTAATTTATTTACAGTAATTAATTATTCAGATCTAATACATGCTCTGGCATGTTGCTTAGCCGAATCCAGATGGCCAAGTGCCAATTTCTCTACTTATGCAATAGGTGGCGCTGTATTCTAACTTATCAAACTCGAATATCAATGTTAGATAGTTAAAGCGTCTTGATATATTACTTTGAGCTAAAGCTAAGTAAGAACTTTCTCGTAGAAATCTCAAGTTAAAACATGAAGTATTTCAATACATGCCTTTTAGTGTTATGCTGCCCTTTAGAGAAACTGAGAATTTTTTAAGACATTTTAAGGAAATAAACATAGTATTTATATTTTTATGCTTGGTACTCGAAATTTTTGTCTTCAGTGTACGAGGTTATAAGGTATTTCTCCCGCCTTCCTAGCGTGCCTTCGTTGTGTAGTGGTTCTGAACGCTGGGCTGGTATTCCAGAGGTCCGTGGTTCGATTCCCGGCGAAGGCGATTGCTCCTTTTTCAATTTGCCTGCTTCCAAAAAATACCTAATGTCTTTAAAGTGGCGCTCTAACTAAAAGGGTGTTGGATGATGATTCTCCTCACCCAGGATTTGGCGATTGGGTCCACTAAAAAGAACCCAGTCGCCCTTTAAAAGGAGGAGTATATAAGGTATTTCTCCAGCCTTCTTAGCATGCCTTCGTGGTGTAGTGGCCTGCATGCTGGGCTCGTATTCCAGAGGTGCATGGTTCGATTCCCGGCGAAGGCGTTGTTCATTTTTCATCTTTCCTGCTTCCAGTTAACCTAATGTCTCGACAAGTGTAGTTAAAAATTGTCCGTTTTATTTGCCATTTCAAATATTCAGATAGTTATATTAAATGCAATATCATCTTTTAAAAGTATGAATAAAAATTTTCTTTTAAGAGTATTTTTAGTGGCAGACTATATTTTTATGGGGGCACCTAAAGATCCTTATGTAGATTCGATTTAAGCAGGCGGTCACCGTTAGCTCCTATGAAGGGAGAGACAATTTGCACCCATACCTTCACCAGGATCCGAACCCAGGTCCTTTGGTATCGCAGTCGGGTCGCCTAACCACTATACCGTCTGGTAAACTAAGAGTAAATAATAACTGCTATATTATGTAGAGAATAATATGCGATGGAATTAAATATATAACTCTATGAATTGTGCCGGCTAGGAGGATTGGGACTGCACCCTTATTATGATAAAGATTCATATATCCATGATTTTCTTCTTTGAAGATATTAAAAAATAAGTTCCCCGTATGGGTGTATTAATGCTATGAAAACTATTTACTCTATTATTAGGTATGCAGTGGATATAATTTCGGATATAGGAACGTACGTTATAGTATGGTGTGTCTTTGACTTGACAAGGAAACCCACTGGAGATCATCACACGATTACAGGGGACTATGCTGACAAATTCATGGTAAGTTATTTTTTAACATCATAGTTGAAAATTTCTTAGATGCAGATGTTTAGAGTTTATACAATTTGACTTTCTTTGGTAGCATGAACTAACATCAAACTCCTAACAGACCTGGAGCGAATTATTGCTGCCCCTGAAGTTAACGACAGAGACTTGAGAAGTTTAAAATAACCATTTTATTAAATCTGAACTTGAACTAACATAAAATGCACGTCTCGTGCTCACAGAAACAGCCACAGGGCCTTGTGGCGATGTAACTTAAAGTTATACCCCCTTTCCGCATGCCTTCGTGGTGTAATTGTAAGCATATTCGATGCATATTCGAGAGGTCCAGAGTTCGAGTCCCGGCGAGTGCACTGCACACTTTTCACGTCTCCTACTACGAAAAAACCTAATGACACTACAAAGTAATAGTCAGGTTCAAATTTAAAACTTAATCTAGTAGTCAAAGACTACCAATTTTATTTAAACCTCAGTTCGCTCAAAACCTGTCAATCTGCGTAACAATTAAATGTCTGCAACGGTAACATCAAGCCAAAGAATTATAGTTTTATCTCAGCTGGCGAAACCTAGCAAATTGTACTCGAGAGGCAGAAATACGCTCTGTCTTGCGATTTAAAACCCTCGGCTTCAGTACTCTCAAAATAATTCTCATTCTAGGGAGGGAAACGGTAAGGAGAAGTGATTGTAAAGGTGAAATTATAAATAACTGTTTAATGTCAAATAATAGTCACCGCGCAAGTTTAACAGTAAATAAATACTACAGCTTGTTACAAATTTAATAGAAAACTGGGTTTTTCTTTTCTCTAAGAAAATCGTACTTAGTAAAAAAAAATCATGTATGTTATGACACAAAAAAAAAAAAGAGGTATAAGCACCAAATATGTGAAAATACTTGTTTATACATAAGAGCCATCGCTTCAAAATCGGTTGTGAAACGAAACAATAAAATTTAGTGCAAGTACGAAATTTACTTATTGCATGAAAATATGAACGGAATGTATTACTTTATCCAAGACCTTTTACCCGTTTTCTTCATCATTGTCCTCCACCAGTTGGATGAGTGGTTAATACCGCTGAACAATGGTAGTTCAGCCTGCTTTGGATTCGAACCCAGGCAAACGGGCTGGCTGCATGGTTGGTTTCCACGAATTTCCCGATTTGTATCATGAATACGAGTCAGTTTCTCCACGAACGTCCTCCACGAAGGCATTCCTTCCCTTAAGCAGATAGCTCTTTGTGGCTTTGTCATATTTAAATAATCTAACTAACCTTCATGATTGTCAGACTTAGCTATACTTGAGGTTGACAAAAATCACTTAAATTGGGCAAAAACTTAATTGAAGCAGCATATTTCCTGAGTATTTTAAGCAACTTTTATTTGAAATTTTATTCTAATAGTAATTTAAATATTCTAAATTAGTGACTAATTTAAAATATAGTAATGAAACTAAAAGTTTTAGTCTTAATTCTTTTCTTATGTTTTTAATAGGAGACATTAAATCGGACAGCTTTGGTAAGAATAATAATAACAATAATAATAAAGTACAATAAAAATAGGCAGATTAAAATTACAAAGCTGTCTTTCTGACAAGAATAAAAGAAGAAAACAAGGTTAAGATAAAAAGAAAAGAAAAGTCATGTTCGTCAATGGCGACCAGAAAACATGCAAAACTGTAAAGAATTTACGATGTAAAAACTGAAAACGTGGTCGATACTGTTGTTATAACTACAGCAGGACAATTATCGTAGTGAAAAAATAAGAAAATAACAGTTACAGAGGGCGTTTACACATTTTTAGAACTATCTCGAACTCCCCTTTTGTTAATGCTTAAAATATGAAAAATACTTTTTTTTTAATGTTCGATCTGATAGCTCTTTCTTTGGACAAGAAATCGGCATCGTGATTTCCATGACAGAAGTACAATTCGTTAAATTTAGAGGAGTATTGATTTCTTTTTCTCGTCCACCAATTTTCAGAGTCCATCAAACGTGGTAGATATTTGCCTAAAAAGAGCTTCTTCCGAAAGACTACAAGCACAATATTCTAAGCGGGAAATGTTAGGAGACTTTGCAGGAATACGTTGAAAAGGTATACATGCAATACCTGCATCAGTCTTTATTTTGTTAAGGAATGTAGTGGTACTTTTCGATATAGGACTTTTATTGCTTTGTCTTTATGAAGTTTTACTTTTTGAAAATCGCTTGGATAAAGAAATGGAATTTCCTCCGTAAATATAGAACCTACAGCTTTCTCTTGATAGTATAATGACATTTTTTTACCACTCATTTTTAATTTCCCATTATAAGGGAACCCTATGACAATCATAAATCCCTTACTGAATCTTTTTGGGGGCATTGTCGGAGCCATGTCTGTACATTTATTTCTTTGTTTCTGATAATAAATGTTTTTCGTTGCAGTCATCCTGCTTCATCATGGCTAACAATGTTTTCATTTACTTCTTGCTAAAATGTTTTCAAAGAGGTTCTACAAATTGTTCTGCTTTGAGCCGCATGCTTTAACAAACGTTGGTGAACATTATGATTTTTAAGCTTTTTAAAGCTGGAACTCTTGGTTTATTATTTTATTTACTGTTACTAAAGATACATTTATAGATTTTGCAACTTATTTTTAAGGCGCCAGATATTCTGTTGTTACCAACGATTTACCTTTAGAAACGTTAGAAACAGTACGTATCTTTTTCGAGTATTCATTTGTATATTATTTCCATGTTGAAGTAATGACCTGCGGTTTTACCCTTTCTGATTAATAATGTTTCTTCTTTTGCACATAATTAATCAGAAAAGGGAAACTTTAACTTTTACTCGTATTAACAGAAAGGTGAAAACTTGCCATTTATTTTTATTTAGAAATTTTAGTATCACATATCCTTAAATCCATAACTTGTTTACATGCGTCATTTTGAAAGGAGAATAAATGTAAAAGTAAGAAACGCTATTTCTTATATCAAAGAATCAGCTGTTATCATCCAAATCGTTCTAAAAGTTCCAAAAATCATTGATATCCTTCTAAAAATTTGTAAACACTATCTGCAGTTTTGATGTTTTGAAGACGAGGTGCATTTTCGATTGATTTATATACAATATATATATAAGGAGTGTTATCAAATTAAACGTTTTTGCTCACGACGTGTATTTAAAACTGTTCTTGAATAATTTACTTTTATTACATGCTAATAAACAACACTTTTATTTTTCAGATAATCGTATTGATCATAGTTGGCGTTGGTTCTTTCTTCTCAATCATTTTCCATTTAGGTGTGAAGGAACATACTTCAACTCCCATATCATCAGAAGAAAACAGCATTGAAAAACATATTGATAAAAGCAGGCAGCCAGCGTTCAACCCATCTTTCGAGGCATCATCTAATACTCTTATCTGGAAAGAATGGTTGTTGGAAGTACAGTTCTACCAGGTTAGTATTCATTCCTACACTCAATTAAAAACAAAATGCATTTTGTTTAGTGATGAAAAGTAATTTAATAAAAACTATTACATAAAGATCTTCATACAAAGTCATAGTGGCAGACTTCCTGTAACTTAATTATTAAAATTTAAAATAGCGTTTTCTCATTTCTTTTGTTAAATTGTAAAATTTGTCCTAAGTTTCTACCAGTTAGTTTTAGTTAAAGCTACTTTCCTGCCCATTCTAATATCAGCTTATAATTTCCTACCAGAATGTGTTTTTAGAATCGCGTTTAATGCAAATGAGTACGAGTAGTATTTAAGTCGAAGATCCACTGACTTCGAGAGCCTGAGATTTTCTGACTATCGCGCGTTTGCCTTTCGGCTACATCTCTCTAAGCTATTACGACGCTTGGCTGTATTACTGGTCCTTGATAGCTTCGCTAGCTTATTCGATATTTAGGGGGCAACTCCTTAGAATTTTGATAGCTTCGGCTATATCGTTTTAGTTAAGCATTAGTTAAGTCTTATTTCTTATTTCTTATTACTTTGAGTTCAAGCCCAAGTGGAGGCTTTGCTGTACGCCTGGAGAAAGCGGCCTTCTGTTCATTACGTTCTTCCACATTTAGTTGTTAGATAAAAGGGTTGAACCCCCAAAATATTTAAGCAATGGAGGAAAACATTTCAATCCTATGATTTAGGCATATTATAAGTTGAGAAAAAGTTAACGTACTTCTCATTAAATAATATACACCATTTATAAATTTCTATGAGGATTATTGGCAGAATTTTGTAGTTTAACTCAAAATTCTGAAATTTTATAATTCATTGATTTGAATTATAAAATACTCAATTTGTAATAGTAGTGACTTTATAGGTGTTTGATTTTCGTAATGCATAATGAATTCATTGAAATACTTTTATGCTTGCTTGGAAATGATGGAATGTTCAAAAATCGTTTGAGGTGTTAAGATTTTAGGTAAAAAATTATTTTTAGTACAACGATGCCACTTACTCAGGACGTCGGAAGAATAAAAAATAAATTTTAAAGAATTCGTCGTTGTGTTCAATAATCCAATGATTGTTAGTTCCTCAGTTTTTGCATGCTACCAGAATTTCAGTATAGAAACGCGTGACTCCTGGCAACCGTGTTGGAATCATTGAAGTTAATCAAATGCCTGCTACAAGAAAATTTCAGATTGGTAAAATAGCAATCCTCTTAGAAGAATCGCCTTCGAATATGCCTTAAAGTAATATTTGTCGTAATGAAATCAACGAGCCAACCAACTGGTAAAAATACATGTAATTATTTTTTTATAAGAATTATCATTTTAAATACTGCGTTTTAAACAATGAATGTTATAACATCCAAATACGAGGTGTATGAACAATTCTATTTTAATTACTTCTAATGTTTGCCAGTGTAAAGGACTTCCAAAGTTTGCCAGTGTAAAGACCAGTTTTACAATCATGAATATGTTGCGGACACGCATCTTATATTTCACGCAACAATACCGTTCGAGCACTTAACTGCTTTTACTTACTCAGGACTTAACACAAGGAACTTAACACAAGCTAATTTGCAGGGAAATTTTTAATTGCAATAAAAATTAATAAACTACAGAAAACACTTTATGGGTTAATTTTTGGTTAAACAGGGTAATAATCACCTACTCATACAATTCATTGATTTGAATTATAAAATACTCAATGCAAGCATTTCGCTGCCTAGACCTTAAGAGGATTCTTTGTGTTGAAGATAGACTCAAATGTTTTTGAATTTGTGTTTTTTCCCCTTCTTCTTCTTACATTTAAAGAACTAAACACAAACTTTACATCTATGGTAGAAATTGAAAATTCCTAATTATAGTGTGAGGGGGGAAATACAGAAGTGCGTTTTCAATGTAAGATAGACAATATCTTGCAGTCCCCAAATTTATTAGATAAACGCATTTCCCCTTACTAAATTGAGGAGAGTAAAGGATGACAATTCAGTTTTTGCTGTGAAGGTGATATGTAATAATTTTCCCAGGAATGGATCTATGAGTTTCAAGTTTCATGTAATCAAGGCTTCTGTGACCTCTATACATTCTGGGAGGAAAAGAAGTGTATCAAAATAATCTTTCTGTATTTTCTCACTCATAATTTATGTTTTTTTTTCTTTTCTTCAATAAATCATATTATTTTTTAAGCGATATTTGTTTCTGAAGGTTTTTCAAGACTAAGCCTTAGTTCCTTTATGAACTGAAATATGCCAAACAGTTATACAAGTTATATTAACCGCCCTATAGCTAATGTTATAAGGTATTTCTTTCTCCTTCTTAGTATGCCTCCGTGGCGTAATGGTCAGCACACTCGGCGCGTGTCGAGTGGTCCGTGGTTCGAGTCCCAGCGACGGCATTGCTCATTTTTATTTCAAAACCCTAGCGTCTCTACAGTGGTCCCCGAACTAAAAAAGATGCTGGATGATGATTCTGCACCACCAGGATTTAACGACTGGTCTCCTAATCCCAATCGCCCTTTAAAAGGGAAAGTGTATAAGGTATTTTTCCCGCTTTCTTAGCATGCCTTCGTAGTGTAATGGTCAGCACACTCGACGCGTAATCGAGAGGACCGTGGTTCGATTCCCGACGAGGACATTGTTCATTTTTCACGTCTCCAGCTTCGAAATAACCTAATGTTTCTACAATGTTGGAAATTATTCGAACGCATGAATGCAGAACCCAGAAATCTCATCACAAGTGACCGCATGCAGGCCTACATTAGCAGGAAAACACCTTAGTAACGATGTTACATACATATTAACACGAGATAGCCGTCGAATAACTTGCCTTGATAAAATAACTTACAATTACTCACATTTTTCTTATTAAAATGTAATATTTAAAATAAAGTAAACAGGGATAATAAATTTCGCAGTTAAAAGAATTTATCTCAAAGCTGAGATCAGTTTGAGTATAAACTTCGCTTTTCAGTTATTGCATTTTTAATATGTGTTCTTTTTCTTTTCAGTTTTTTATATCTTAATTAATCGCTTCCTTCCAAGGAGATATTGCATTATTAGAAAGGATATTAAAATTGAGATAAATAGTAATTAGTGCATCAGATGCCTGACGCATTTTACCTGATAGATGTTTACGGTAGATTTTATCGATACGAAAAAAAAAATAAATGAGCGTAATTTCTTTCTTTCCTTCACATAAACTATGCTGTCTTCGTATAAAACTCTTTATTAGTGATAAATTCTAATTATCATTAATATCACATTCATTTACAGGTGGGACTTCTATACATGTGTGCGAGGCTGTTCCAGAACATGAGCTGTGTTTTCATGCCTCTTTATTTACAAGAATCGCTAAGAGCTGATGACGTAAGTATAAGTTAAAAAAGAATGTGTTTGTAAATGTAAAATTGTAAGTCGCGTATTATACATATGTTTTTTTTTTTTTTTTTTTTTTTTTTTTTTTGTCTAACATACTGGTGGACAGTTTCTAATGACGGCTTCCAAATGACTAAGCGCGTAAAAAAGTAAGTATGGTTGAATGCCAGAATACTAGGACTTAACAACAAAGATAATTTTTTGTGCTCTGAAATCTAAAAGTCCTTTAAAAATGTTGAAATGGACAAAATGGTCATTTTAGGCTGAATACGTAAAAGGGAAGAAAATACATTTCCCGTCTGCATGCACTCTGGCGTAAGATGTCAATACGGGATATGGCCACTATGGAGGGCGATGAAAGTTTCCACACGTCGTGTTTTGCTTTGCACAACATTATCCAGCAACTGTTGGGATAATTTTTTCCACTCCTCTGTCGTTGTACGGATGAGGGTGTTCTTATTTATTGGGGGGACGCATTACCGACCAGCAAGACTCTTTTCAAAGCATCCCAAGCATTTTCAGTGGTATTCAGATCTGGAGAGCGTGCTGGCCATATAAGGCGTTGAATATCCTCGCTCTCTAGATACTCCTGGGCAGCGACTGTTAATGACATGTTGCGTTGTCGTCCATGAAAACAAATGTATCACGGATAGCCCCATGGAACGTGCGAACGTGAAGCAGCAGAACATCATTAATATATCGTTGGCCATTAATAGTCTCAGCTGGACTCCATACGATCATGATCATGATTGATCATGATGCTTGCTAAACATTCCTTTTCTCTGAAATGATTTCAAAAGCCTTGAAACAGCACTGTGGCTGATGTCAAACTCCTAATTTTAAGCACTGCGTCACTCAGTATATATCTCCTGTATTCTGTATGTACCATCCTGTATATACAGAATACAGGAGCTATATGTATCTTCATATAATTAAATTAAAATTATACTTAAGTATTGAGTGTTGCGCATTATATTTTAAACACTGTGGCAACCTGTATTTATTTCCTGTATTCTGTATGTATCATCTTGTATGTATCTCAAGTACTATTAAGCATCATGACTTAAGTATTAAGTGTCGCGCATTGTATTTTAAGTACTATGTCACCCTGCATATATTTCATGTATATCCTCATGTATCATCCTGCACATATCTTAACCTTTTAACTGTCATGCCCGAGATAGCACTGGTGTTCGAAAATGTCACGCCCGAGTATTTCTCGGGGTAATTTTTTTTTTTTTTTTTTTTTTTTTTTTTTTTTGAGTGCATCGTATTGTCATACCCGAATATATATCGCGAGATCTTTATTTCGGCTACATTTGGTTTTTCCAATAAAAAAATTTGACAATTTGTGTACCCAAATCATCAAAATAATTTGACAGTTAAAGGGTTAAGTATTAAGTAATATGACGTAAGTATCGTGCATCGTATTTTAAGTATTGTGTCATCCCGTACATATCTCCTGTATCCTGTATATATCATCTTGTAGATACCTACCGAGTTAAGCATTCAATATTATGACTTAAGTATAGCGCATTATATTTTAAGTACTGTGTCATCCTGTACATACTTCCGCACAACGTACCGTGCACTATGTTCTGCATAATAATGTCTCAAGTACTGCGTACTGTATCAAGTATAGTATTACGTATTGTGTCATCATATTGTACTAAATTTATAATTGCACTAATATATTATATCTTAAGTAATGCGTTTTGTAGTAAATACTGTGTAGTGTAATGTGTCATCATAATATACTAAATCTATAGTTGTACTAATATATAATATCTTACGTAATGAGCATTGTAGTAAGTAATGTGTATTGTAGTAAGTAATGCACTGAACATCTATGTACTATGCATTAAGTCCCGCATTATGTACCTAAACAACTTTAAGTATTTATCCCTGCGATATGTACCCCGACCTAGAGTAATTCTTAGGCGTTCAATCCTCCTTTTATATTATATGTCTTTATGTGCTTATGTTTTTATTTTATGTGTTATGTGTGTGTATATGTGCTGTGTTCAGTGTGTGTTATTTGTTTACTTTGTTGCGTTCGTGTATGCATTTGTTTTCTAATTTGTGTTTTTATGTGTTATGTGTGTGTATATGTGCTGTGTTCAGTGTGTGTTATTTGTTTACTTTGTTGCGTTCGTGTATGCATTTGTTTTCTAATTTGTGTTTTTATGTGTTATTCACTATGTAATGTACTTTGTATGTCACCTCAACCACATATGTAATCCACCAATTTATGTCAAACAATTGCCCCTGTATGGCATTGTAAACCTTTCTTAAATCATATATAAACTCCCGGTGCGGTCTCGTGCGGCTCCAGGGAGTTGTTGCCTCTGGATAGTGGAGGACGCGGGACATATGCCTGTTTACCTCTGTTAAACACCAGGCGTCCCCGTCCTCCGTCACCTGTCAAACTCCTAAGCAATATCTATTGTTTTTCGCCCTTCATCAATCTTGCCAATAATACGGCCACGCCTTAAAATCATCTAAGTGATGTCGAGAGGACATACCGAAAACTGCAAGTTCTTCAACTTATTCTTCCTGTTAAATTTTGGTTTTGAACGACAGTCAATACACGTCAAATTCTTTACATCTCTTATCGGCGCTATCACGTTGCGAACCACTTCGTCAATCCAAAATTTTCATACGCACAATACATCTTACTGTATCCCGCACTTTAGCTAATTTCCCCATTTACCTGCCTTCCATTTTGCGGTTGCTATTGCTGACATTGTTATTTTTCCTTAGCAATTATCCATCAGAGTATAAATCGCATCACCGTAGTTAAAGGAAACATAATAGAAACTTTAATATAACTGTATGAAAATAAATTAATATATAAAACTGATAATTATATGAATCACTAGGTAGAATAAATAATTTTAGAAAACATCAAAACTAATAATACTAGAAATTATTAGTAATTTAGAGTAAATAAAAATGTATAAAAACGTTTTTGATGTTTTGAAGTTTCGGAAGAAAAAAAACATTCAAGAAAAAGCTATTTAGTTCTGCCCTTCTGATAATGTACCGAATTTTTTCCACTAAACTGCGCTATTCTTCAAAACAATTTCATTGCCACTGTCAAGAAATTTATGACATTTTAGATAACTTATGTTGATGTGAAAGCATCTTTTAATCATAAAATCTGGTTATAAATTAATAATTTCAATTTCCAACAATTTCATTCGTGAGATTTCATCATCCGATCTTTATTTTTTACGAACCTTCACAGAAATTTAAACACCTTGATATATAAAATAGCAGATTACGTATTAAAATTATTATTGGATTAGTATTACGTAATTAAAAAATTTTGTGGGGAAATAAATTTCAGAGTAAAGATGAAATATAAGTAACAACTGGTGACTTACGATAGTAATATTGATTATCTTTTATTATCAAGAAACAGTATTTTTTCCTAACCGAAATTTCACTTCAAGCAAAGAAAATGCTTGTTTGTAGAGGAAGTCGTCATGTATGAGTTAATACTATTAGAATACAAAATAGCTGTGAAAATCCAAAATAATATATTATTTTGTTTTTTCTAACTTCCTTTTCCTACTTACTATTCTAACATTCATTGCAAACACTGTGATAAAAAGAATGATCACACTCACAGACAAATTCAAGCATTATTCAGAACCTCGTAAATTTGAACAAAAATACCATGGATAATTTTCAATATAATTTGGAATTTCCATATACAGCATTCAGTAGTTTTGATTTAATTCTTAAAATGCGTTTTAAATAACCTTCAGATTACTAACTATTCCCTTTAAATCCTAACATTCCGCTAATGCTAACATTCATCTCTATTTATGCAGAAAAGTGGCAAACTTAATAATAATTAATTAAAGCCTCTATAAGCTCATAATGTGAACATGCGACAAAAGTAACGTGAAGGTGTTGTGAGGACCTTAGTTCGCGCTTATTCACTAAAAACTCACTATTGAATTTTTGGACCGAAAGCATTACGTCTCCTTTCTTTGTATATAGGTTGGCAGGAGGTAAAAAGAGTAAATTATTTTTATTTAAAAAATTGTTACAGCTATAAATAGAGTCCTGCTGAAAACAGAGAGTTATTAAGGAAATAAGAATAAAATAATCAATTTCATGTTTGCATACCTGTGTTTCACACTTTATCATATAAATGCTATGTGTTATTTTATTTATCCAGTGACTTAATATAAATGCTGAGAAAGTTTATTTTTGCAGGACTTTATTGCGAAAATTCCTCTTGTGATGAACGTGAGTGGTTTCTTCATATCCTGTTCCTTGCCAAAATTTTTCAAAATTATGAGCAAAAAGGTAAAAATCTGTATTAAAATAGTTTACTTAAGTTATAATCTTGGTTTCTGATATGTGTTTGTAGTACAGTAATTTTCAAATCAAATTATTTTCAAATACACTAATGTTTGTGAAAAATGCAACAATATGAAGGAATTGTCGGAAATCAATGACATTTATTCTACATATTACTTATAGTGGTGCAAATAAACGATCATATTTACAAAATAGAAAATGAAACGAACGTCAGAAATCAGTACTTTGTATGTCCATCACGTTGAGAGATGAGACCCTGTACACGACGTGGCATTAAATCATACATGTTCTGAATGTAATCCTGGGCGATCGCATTCCATATGGCTTTGACATGACGCCAGTGTTCAGTCTTAGTGTGTGCCTCACTAGCTGTACGAGAGAGTTGGCGACCGATGAAATCCTAGACATGTTCAGTGAGCCATATATATGGAGAATAAGGCAGGTCGTGGAAGAAGCGAAATCTGTTGTGCTCTAAAGAAGGCTTGTGTAGTCTGAAAAACATGTGCACGGGCATTATCCTGCTGAAATACAGTGCCCGGAACATGTCGAAAAATGGGAAGGACCTTTTGCTTCACACCTACCTTTATTCACTGTTGAGCTTGTCCGCAATCTGCACTAGATGAGATCGACAATACACAGTAGCTCCCCACACCATGATGTCAATTGTGTGTGTGGTATGACGCTGGATAACACACTGTGGGAGCAGATGTTGAAAGTATGATGCGTACTCTTTCATGAATGTACTCTAGATTGTAGTGAGATTCATAGGAGAAAACAATTTTTTCCCACAGGGCACGCCACGCACTGTGTTGAAGTCGGAGCGTCTGTGATTCAGTGACAGGGGAATCCTGCGTAGAGGAACCCTTGCACGCAATCCATGCTACAGCATACGACGACGAACCGTGGAGCTAGATAACACAACGCCTGTAACCGTGCTCCAAAGTTGTGTTAAGACACGAGAGGATGCTGTATGATCCTATATAGTCAATGCGGATAAAACGTTTACATGTGCTTTGTCGCCCGGTGCCGTTGTGCTACTGCGTGCCCCACTGTCAGGATGTCGCCTTGTTTGGTTCTCCTCTGTCCATTTCTTCAAAACAAGTACCACTATTGCAACATTACGCTGGACAAACAGATTTTAACGATGCTTTAATACTTTTCCTGTCATTAAGCAGGATAATTCATTCCTGATCTTGCCAATATCCTCAGAAAATCCTGACTGGGCCTGACATATGATGAAGTCCGAAGATGAGGATTCTCCATACGCGGTAGAATTGAAGAGATTTCCTTATATACACGGAGAGTCCTTTATATACATGGAACAAGCTGCCGGTTCTCATTCCACGCATGCGCAATTGCTTTGTAATTCTGATCATTTGCATGCCTTACCTCACTTTACATTTCTTGTAAGTTTGGTTCAATTTTCATTATTCCTTCATGGTGCAAAAATTTTCACAAGTATTAGTGTATCATTAAGCAAGAAAGAACCCATGACCTATGATTGAATGTGGCTCAAATAAATTTATTTAATGGTCTTCAGACTTCTCTTTGGTTTATATTTCAGCGTTTTTCCCATGTTTGAAAGTTTCTACAGTTAAAAAAAACGCTTGTTTTTAAAATTAATTAAAATGCTTAAAAATGGCTTAATAAATTCATTTCATACTTAGTAAATTAAAAGGAATTTGCTGAAATGCCAGAAATATATATACACCATGTCCCCAAAAGTCCTAACCCGGCGTTTAACTTCACAATCTTCGGTCATAGAACATATGCTTCCAATTCCAAAAATGTTTTAGGAATAATGCTTCGGCATTTTTAAATTTAAAAAAATAATCCTATAAAAATTACGAAATGTAGCTTTTTAAACGTTCCTCCGGTCCTTATAATTGCATTTAGGAAAATTTTGCACCCGTTCTAAAAAATAAAATACAATGTGATTCATTCCCGTACTACAAAAATTGAGCGAGATATTTGATATTAAAATCTAGAATCATATTCAAGAGTCGTATGCAAACTGAAGAGCGAAATGTTGCAATTGTATGTAACTAAAAATGAAATTTAATTTAGAAAAATGTTTCTCATGTTCAAAGATTACATGACGAGTTTTCTGTGCGGATTATTGTGAAAAGTATTGATCAATGTAATTTGCTTCAAAAATGGATGTATTAATCACAGAATCTTACAAAACTAATTTTCTAGAACTACTGGCAGGTGGTAAACTTTACAACTGGCACGTCGCAAAACCGTAATATTATTTGCATTATTTAAATATTAAAGATATTTGCATTTTAATGAATTTTTCACTATTACCAAATTATGAATCTAAAGTAAAAAAAATTTCGTTAGAACATTAATAAGTATTTTTAGACTTTGATAAAATATCAATTACACGTGTGCAAATTCTTGCGGCATAACAAATGTAAAAAAATTATAAATCAAGACGCTAGTAAATCACAAGAGAATATCCCTGATTAGCATTTAAAGAGAAAACCCAGCCTTGAATTATTCTGATTTATTTATTACCTGACTCCTCAACGCAGATTCAAAATGCAGTGAAATACAGCGAATTTTGAAATTCGGGAATTTTTGTACCGGTCTGTTTCGGTTTTTTGTCTCGGTCAATTTTTGTCATACGGGAGCCAAAATTTTTGAATTCATTTTTTATAATGGGTAGAAAAGTTACCTAAATGCAAATATAGGGACCAAAAAGGTTAAATTTCGTATTTTAAATGAAACTGTTGTCTTTAAATTTAAAAGCACCGAATCATGAATCTTTGTGTTATTTAAAACATTTCTGGGTACTTACGGAAAATCCCGTCGACCACAAGAGACGGCGCCAATCGCGGCAAACCAAAATAACCCATTTACTAGATACAAGAAAAAACGTTTTATTCTTATTTTTCTTTCAAATTTATTATATTATAATTTATTTATATTTAATTTTTCATTAAAAATTTCCATTATTTTTTATTAAGTAGATATACTGTAAAAGCAATTATTTTCGCTAAGTTTTAATTTAATCGCCGATATGATTCCATAACTTTGGAAATATGCAACAGCATGCTCTTCTGTAGTAGGCAGGTCCTAAATTTTAATTTTTTTTTTCCTCGAAATGCGTGATACAGGGGATAAAAGGAGTCTTTACTCTCAATAATCATAACTAACACGTGTAATCAAGGTTACACCAAACCCAGCATGTTTGAAGAAGACTTTTCCATTTTTGGCGAAAAATCGCGTAGTTTGGCGTCTTTTCTTTTATAGGCAAAAATGGTCGACGGGATTTTCCGTAAGTACCCATTTCTGTAACTCGAAGTGTACGTCTATGACACTTTTTTTTTTTTTTTTTTTTTTTTTTTTTTTTTTTTTCATTTTGCACCACTGAGAGGGCATCCGACCTAAGGTGATATCTAACAGAAAAAGCCCACCAAGTGAAAATTATCAATTTGGGAAGAATTATGTTACTTAATTTTATCTCATTTTTTTATTTTGCAAGTAATTTTCTTTGATAGAGACTGCAAGCTATTATTATTATTTTATATATTACCTACATTTAGCAAATTCTGAATTTTAGATCACGCTTCTTACTGGTGCAACGTTAGGAGTGGGAGCATGTTTCTGGATTTCCATAGGACATGGCCCAACATTTTGCTATAAAGGGATTTATGGAGTTGGAGTTATTATGGGAGCAGCCTCTTCTATGCTTGTGGTCAGCTCGTTGTCTTTCATTCATGACCTCATAGGCACCAGTGCTGTAAGTCTTACCTATTTAGTTTTTATTAACATGTACTATTTAATATCGCTCAAAATTTCATTTACTGGCAACTTCAAGAATTTTAAGCCATGCCATTAAATAAAATTAGACATTTAGTAAATATTTTAATATCTGATTTTGTTTAATGGCAATGTTTAAGTCTATTCAGAAGTTTTCAAACTCCATTGGCAATGTGGCTAGTTGATTTTATTTGTGCAGTTATTGCTACTGATTATTTAATACAATCTTTCACTGGATGCATATTTGCTTTACGTAAAACTAAATAAAAATAACAATTATAGTACAGGGTTATTCGTAAATCAGTAAAAAGTTTCAAAAACTGCATAGCAAGTTTACCAAAAAATACAGAATTTTAATGCACTAAAACAGAGGTAAATTATTCGTTGAAGTTTCATAAAACAGCGACAGCTATTCACATCACTTCCGAAAACAATTATCTGAGTTGATAATTGTCACAAATATGGAGAGCATTTGCTAAAACTTCTCAATCGAAATTTCTCACTAAGGTGAACGGGAAGTATAATTACGAGTCTATTAACGTATTAACGCGATTGCCATCTGAGGTTTAGTATTAATTCCATGTTTCATCTTCATGTGTGAGAGGGTTATTCAAGATATTGTCTACATGCTTTCAATTCCCGCTAATCTCCAGAAATCTCGCAGTCGTGTGGCTGTAGTTAGTCCTCTTTTACTGGCAATCTGTTATTCGTGTGAACAATGTGTTATCGTATGGATGTCTATCATTATTTGCAAATGTGGACGTACCGAGCATTTGTGAAATATATAAACAATCCTGCTGACTTTGCTTCTGCTTCAATGTAATAAAAATTTTATACCTATTGCATAATTTATTTTTCATGAATAATTCAATTTTTCCGTGGAATTATGCATAATCCTGTATTATAGGAAACTACATGAAGTATGTCTAATCGCCACGGAATAATAATAAATATAGTGAATTTTATGCATTAATAAATTCTTTAAATATGTATAATCAGCAGATACATTGCTCGAAATGTCTCGAAATCTTGTACTATCTCTAGAAGCCTTTTCTTTGTTCAGAACGCTTCATTATCTTATTTTTGTCAGAAGTTACCACAAAAATGTCTCAAGATTATTAAAATTTTTACATTAGGCATTGGGAATAGGCGTTTCAAACATTTTTCTTAATATAAAATAAGTGAACGTATAACACAACATAACATAAATAAACACTATCATAAAAAAGCACATGTAAACGTTTTATCGAAACGTAAAATTTTACTTTCATGTTTACTATATGCAGGCCTGGATTAAAAATTTTAGAGGCCCTTAAAATATTTTGATGCCCCTACATAAATTTACATCTGTTTTTTCCCTATGCCTTCTCTTTCGATCAGGGTTTACTTGCGCCATATATTCCATGGTAGAATCGGTAATGGGAATTTTTTGTGGTAACCTATTCTTGATATCCTAAAGATCTATTTATGGTGCCCCTTCTCCTTGATGCTTTATGAACGTATTTATTTTTCTTATTAGTTAATCCAGCTCTGAATATATGTATTCGTGCTTTTGTAATACTTTTCATTTGAAAAGAATGTATGATTCATATGTACGAGACTTGATGTCGCTGGCTTTGTTCTTCGCTCTAAGCATTAGCCATGCAGTGTTAGTTTTCAGCTTTTTAGATAATAGTGTCTAACTACTGCAAGCGGTGTGCAAAAAGTGATGGAGTTTTTGTAGCGTTACTTTGCCAATTAACTTAGCGCTATACTTCATCATTATGCAAATCAATGGGATATAGGAATGCATTCACTATATACTTTCATATAAATTCTGTGTACCTGGAAGCTTTTGCATGAGACAAACTTAATTGTTATGTATTAAAAATTTAAAATCAGCAGTTTAATTTTATTTAAATTGTCTTTGCTGCATTTTAAACCAAAGTCACTGCAGCTCTTAGGGCATCAAAAGTTTTACAAACCAAAATCAAACGGATAACACTCAACATTTTCTGACACTTAAGTAAAAATTTAATAATTACGTCTATAATCTCAGCATTTAGCCAAAGGACACAATTTTTCTAAAATATTAAAGAAACTCAGTAGCAAGTAATCGGAGTTAGAATGTTTCAAGAGATAAAACGCTGAGACATTTTAAGGTAGTGAAATAATTCAACTAGATGTAGGGAAAATGGCCATACTGGAAATGTTGCTGTTGTTCTAAATGGCCGAACGTTGCAACCTGATGCATTCGTTGACAATAGCCAATATCAATAGGTCATTTAGCCGTCTCATCACTGAGAACGTTGCCCAATACGCACCACAGAGAGTGAACATATTACACATGTTTCATCGAAATAGGAGTTTGATTGAAACAGACTAAAAATTAAATGTGAACAAAAATGTGAACTTGTTGTATGATAAACCAAGTAACATAACAGTGGAAAAGTAGAATTACCAAGAATGGTGGCGAGTAACATTTTTTTCGACCATTAAATGTAAAAAAAAATATTAGTAACTATTTTTACATCAGTGAAATATATTGATAAATTTCAGGAAAGTGGTGCTTTTGTTTACGGCTGTATGAGTTTTTGCGACAAGATGGCAAATGGTATAGCTGGAATGATTGTCCAACATATGCATGTGTAAGTAATTTCAATTTTTATGTATTTTACCGCTTCTAACATTTCCTTAAACTCAACGTTATTAATTATTAAAAACTTTTTTAACACTTCCTACTCATGCCTATAATTAATCGTAAATTTTCTGTTAATATAAAAATGTATTGAGAATACGTGTATAGCAAAAACTGCGAAATTCGAATCTGAATTGATAGCATTAGATTCATAAGGATATATTTTGTGTTATACGTAACTAAAATTGAAAAATTAAAAAAAAAAACAATGATTCCAATATACTAGTTAAATTTCATTTTAATATGAATTCATAATTTTCATTAAAATAGAAAGATAAGTTAGGGGCTTTAGAAATTTTTTTAAAGTAAGGATTCTAACTTATTTAGTTTAGCTTATTATTTATAAAAATGCAAACAAATTCATTCACTGTTGAAAATTAGCATATATATTAAAACTTATTTTTTATATCAGCTACATATTCTTAACATATCGTAATATAAATAATGAAAATTCAGCTTAAGAATTTAAGAATTCCGAAAGTATTCTTTATTCTAGTTTCCTCAATATTTACTTCGGATTTGTAACAATTATTACATTTTAAATATGTTAAAACTTTGTATTTGAAACTTTATAAAACTTTGTACTTTGTATTTGAAAGTTTCCCTTTATTTGAGCATTTAATTTCAGAATAAATTTTATTTTATTTTGACTAACTAAACTGCTTTTCATTTTGAACGCCAGAAAAGAGAAAAGGAAGATCGTGTGAGAAACAGTTCTTTTACTTCATTAATAGTCGTTCCCCTATTAAAATACCTTAGAATGCTTTTAAAATGACCATAGAAATGTTTTAGATATAGAACTGTTATTTTAGAAAATATAGTACTTAATAAAACATACTTGAAATTTTAATTTTAAAATATTGATATCTGGTAAAGAAACGATAATTTAATTTGTTTTCTCTACATATATAAAATGATGAATTTGTTCTGTGGAATCAACTTAAAAAACATTTTCCCCTTTAAATTTAAAGTATTTAATGATGCATTTTTGCAATGGTTATCTTGAACGATTTGAAGTATTTCCCAATTACTTTTTTAAAGCCATACCTAATTTTAATACATTCAGAAAAAAGTAAATTTAAAATATAAGGTGTAAAAACTGGCAAACATTTTTGAATTTTTATTTCCGTGCATCAATGGAGGGATATGACAAAAAAATCTTTTTATTTTTCCTTATTTTATATTGTAATGAATACTGACTGTAAAAATACCTCATAAATTTTTCCAGGATACTTTGTAAAGACTGTGACTGGTTCTACAAAGATGTACTGTCTTATGGTGTTGGAAGTATAGCCATAATTTCCAGCTTTGTTCTCTTTTCTCTTGTTCCTGCAAAACTCGGCGAAAGAAAGCGCAAAAGCAAAGGTATCTTATATAGTTTGACTTGCAATAATTTATAAAATTGATTTCATAACATACTTCGAAGTATCCATTAAAAAATACTTTTGTCTGTTCGTAAATATTTCTGTCTAAAACGTAGTTATGGAATAATGAAAAAATATTTTCCCCTCGTTTCTTATGTATGAAAAAAGCTATTAACAAACCAAGTATTAATTATATCATTCAGCCTTTTATTTAAAAAAAGAAAGAAAAGAAAATGACAAATTCCTAGATCCGGATGGTGTATTGAAAGTTGACTCTCTTGGAAAATCCATAACTGCCCTTAAGTCATCAAACAAACGTAAATATTACTGTAATGTTACATTAGGTTGTACATATTTATTAATAGCTCTAAAATTACTTTCGTTTACTTCAGATGATTTACGTCAGCAATGAGAATCGTCGTACTTAACTAAGCCTACCTTCATTCCAAACTAAAACTATTCCCTATAGAAAGAATGTCTGGTTAGTTTTATTAAATATAAGCTGCTTGGTAAAAGTGTCCGAATACTTCCGTAAACTCATTTTCAGAACTTTTTAAATAAGCTGTTTTGTTTATGAAAAGTTTTTAAATAACGTTTTCAAAAGAAAACAAGCTTTGAAAAAAAGAAGGGAAAATAGTACACATGAAAGAAAAACAAAACTATTTCGCTGATATTTAGCAGAAACACAAGTGTCCAAAAGCAAATGTGTGCCACTGTAAGTTACACAAATAAGCAAGAGTATTTCGATTAAAATTTGGACATAAAGAAAGAGAAGCTGACATTTTCATATGGCTGTCGGCGATCGTCACCCCAGTTTTCAGATTTAATCCCATGCGACTTTACCTTTTGGGGGTTTCTCCAGGGATATAATTCTTGTTCTTCCACTTCCCTCTAACCTCACAAGCCTTCACAACATGGCTCTGATTCACTGTGGTAGTTGACATGTCATAATTGTCTGAAATATTAAGTAAAGAGCCTTACGGTAATTAATTGTGAACTTTTTCAAAATTCTTTGAGTTTTCTCTATATAAATTAATAAAGTGTGGTATCGGTTACGTGTTTTATTAGACTAAATGGGCTTTGTCCCTGAAAAACTATTGTTTTCGTTTTGCGATTTTGCGTTGAATCACTATAAATGTCCGTTTCACATTTCAAACTGTTGCCACCCAATGTTAGAGTCCTGCATTATATTTGAAGAAATTAAATAACGAAGAATCTGCATAAATGTATGTGTATTTCTCGCATTGTGATAAAACAACAGTACATAGAGCCATTGAATTTTGAATGACATAATCCTCCTACGAATATGGGCATGTGAAAGGCGAAATTTGAAATTTGGAATTTGTTTTATGATCGATTTCATCTTTTATAAAACTTTAACGAATTTTTGATTAACAAAGTCAACGATTTCAAAGCGAGCAATGGCAACACCTACGAGGAAAAAAATCTTTTTATCTCCAGCACGGGAAACTGTGTATCGGAAATTCTAAAGATAGGCTCTTTTTAAAATTATTTTGCGACATTGCTATTGAACTGAATTTTATATAGTTTAAATGCAAAGAACATGATATTTAATAAATAAAGGTAACACACAAAACGTTAAAAAATGCCCCTTAAATTTAAAATCTGAAATCTTTTAGATTTTTGTTTAATTTATTATAATTTAAAATATTCTACATGCATAACTACGTAACATTTTAAATTTTATCAAGTTACATGAAAAGAAAACATAATTCTATTGATTTTCTTGTATTTATAGATGCTGAGTTAAAAGAGGAAACCCTTAACTTCGGTAGCACAGATGATAATAATGAGACGCAGCCACTTCTGCCAAAGACTTGATAACAGTGTAAAGAAGTTCAAGCCCCGGCATTCATAGAATGTACAGAATCTGTAATGGAAGAAGGTTCAAGAGAGAGACTCCTTCGAATGATAGCTCTCACATGTTTAACAATCCTGCAAATCTGCTATAAAATGAAAGCCACGATACCGTATATAATTGAAATAAGTATTTGTCTGTTTAAAAATAATGCTTAATTTTTTTAAAGAATAGTATTTAAAGGGGCAATTATAATTTTATAAAATCTGTTAAGTAGTACAAAATATCAAGAGTTTGTATTTTGTAGACTTTAGCTTTCAGATCAGCAGTTAAACTTTGGTATTACTCTTTATTTTGCCTTTTGGGGCTAAACTGAATAACGACCCCTCCTTTTTTTATTTGTTATTCTTAATTGGCAAACTGTTTCTAGAAAACCTTCTGCTTTAATTATAGTATGCTGCGAAGAATATTTAGATGACTCTATGGGATTTATAAAAATTCTTTTGATTAATATTTCGCTATTTCTCAGTTAAATCTATTTCTCTCTAATTAAACAGCTAAAATAGAACTTCATTGAATGTGCTAAAACAATTTCGTCATTAAATAAATTACTTTCAATTTTTGAAGATGGTTGATTTGCTATAAATGTGTGTATTTTATAGTCGTTTTAAATTTCTTTAGCCTCGCTAAATTAAATTTCTGTCTACTTTGTATAAAATTTTAAAATAAAGGTTCTTCAATACCCGTTTTATTTATAGATTTTCAGAGAGAATGATGTACTCGTATATAGCAAGCTATGTCCAAAGGGTGTTTTGAATTGGACAGCATAAATTTATTTATCATATTTAAGTTTATAATTTGTAGTCATGATAAATTTCATTCAAATCAAAGCAAGAATTTTTTTTTTAAAATTGTTTATTATTAGTATACACAAATTGTAACATTTTATAATAAGCCTAATTTCAACAATTCGTAAAAACATCGTTCTTTAATTTAAAAATTTGTTTACCTTTTCGGGTATGTAATATTTTTGTTAACCATTTTATTCGCGCTTTTTACTGATGTATGGAAATTTGGGGCTGTGCTACATGAGATTCCCCTTCGTCACTTTAAAAAAAAAAGAGTGGCATACGAATTTCAACAAGATTTATTAATTTAGAAGCATTTTTTCTTCTTAGTCACTAAAATTGAAAACTTTGCATTTCCATTTAACTCAGGTTAGAGACGTTTGAATGCGATCGAAGCTCCCATTAGCGGTTACTTCAAAATTAAGGCTTTTGTCTATTACCAAGGTGTGCCCACTACACTGCTTTTCTGTTCTGTTTTTAAGACCGAGAATTCAGATTACTGTTAATGGAATTTCTGAACACAACTCTGTTCTGTCGGTCTGCTAAAGCGGAGTGTTCATTAATGGAAAGTGTCCGCTAAAGTAGAATGTTCATTTACAGCGGTTCGAGTGTATATCGCTTTAGTTTTCTGAATATACCGAAAGAAAACATACACTTCCCTTTTTCCTGTTAAGGAAACGTTAATTAATTTTATTTTTGGTTAGGAATATCTAAATGTTAAATATGTTCGGCCATGCATATACATTTTCTAGGCTTTTAAATTCATTTATATGAATATGTTTGAAAGCCAGATTTGAGTGAATAAGTTATTGCTGTTTGAACTTCGAGCAATTTCAAAAGAATTCCTTTTATTAGTATTCCACCAAAAACTAGTTTAAGATAATTTCTTTCTTCAAACCATGTTTTATGCTTTGTATGAAATTTGATTGAAATATGAAAAAATGTAGTAATTTCCTTAACCAGATTTTAATTTTCCCAATTCTAGTAAGAAATTGGTATAGCATGAACCAATTCATATTCATAATCTCTTCATAATTTGAGTGCTGGGATTGAATTCGTTAATTCGATGAAAACAGAAACCAAATTAGCAGAAAACTTTTTGCACTTTTACGGGTAGATTGACCAAATTAATAATGCTGAATTAAAGGACTGTATTAAATTTAAAATTGGATTATTATTATCCAAAATAAAATTATTGTCACTTTTTAATATTTTTATTACTTCTAAAAATATTTTATATTTAATTTAAAGTCAAGCTTACGTTAATGGTCAATGAGTCGGTTCAAATGTTCAAGTTCTCGATTTGTATTTACCATAAGATATATGTAAAGTCTGTACATTACACTGCCATGTAAATGTAGATGTCTCAATAAAATCCTCTAGAATTTTTGCTTATAGCACTTTTTTAACACAACAGGGACATCAGAGTAAGTTTTCTTATTCTCCCCTTTAAGTGATTATTGTTACTGTTTTCCAACTGTTATTGTTGTATTATGGGAATAATGTCATAAATATTTCTATTGCATTTGTATTTTAAAGAATGCATTTAAAAAAAACCTTATAAATACTGACCTCATGATTCTTACTGAATGAAAAGATAATTTAACTAACAAAAAGTCGCACTTAAAAAAAAAAAAAAAAAAAAAAAAAAAAAAAAACATTAGAATATTTGATAACATTTTGAGAACCTGAAAATCATGAATGCTTTAAAGGAACGTAAATATATTTTATGCAAGAACTATTTTATATCACAGATGAGCTTGCCCAAAATGAAATGTAACACTTCAACGGGCGGAGTATTTCAGTATAGTACTTCAATAATCATCTCTTTGCAGCTGTGTAGAACCAATACATTTGTTTTATGCTATTTGTAATGATGCCCATCAGCTCAGAAGTTAGCAGCTATCAGTCAATCATGTAATATCCATTTCACTAAAAAATCATGTAACAGCCATTTTCTTGGTATTGGTTAACACTGCCAGTGTAGCAGCATGCCACCTATGCTAAACAGGATTAAGTCTAGAAATTAAGCTTGTCGGCCTACGTCCATTATTTGATATTAGTGTATATGAGAAGTATCATATAAATTTTCCGCTTCTTCGTCTTGCATAATAGCATTCATAAAAGGCGCAGAATATCTTCTTTGTACTTTCGAAAGCTGAAATTTGTCAGCATAGAAAATTTTACGCTCTCTCATCTTGCATTCACTTTATTTAATTTAACAATTATTCTTGTGTTAATTCTTTTCTATCCTTTCTGATTTCCTCTATTCTTCATCAGAATACAAAATACTTAAGTTTAAATACAGAAGCAAATTAACAGTTACATAGAGTGAATTGGCAATGCTAGTGATTTGCTTACCCTGCGACTCAGCAATTTTTGAATTCCATAATTGCTAGGTGCTGTTTTGGAGATTTTTAACCAGTGATTATCAAATCAACTAGTCCAAGCTAGTAGACGTAAAACTGCTTGCTTTCTGACAATTCGTTTTACATTTATCATTATAAATTTTTAACCAGTGATTATCAAATCAATTAGTGCAAGCTAGCAGACGTAAAACCAGTTGCTTTCTGGTAATTTGTTTTACATTTATCATCATAAATTTTTAACCAATGATTATCAATTCAACTAGTCCAAGCTAATAGACGTAAAACTGCTTGCTTTCTGACAATTCGTTTTACATTTATCATTATAAATTTTTAACCAGTAATTATCAAATCAACTAGTGCAAGCTAGCAGACGTAAAACCAGTTGCTTTCTGGTAATTTGTTTTACATTTATCATCATAAATTTTTAACCAATGATTATCAATTCAACTAGTCCAAGCTAATAGACGTAAAACTGCTTGCTTTCTGACAATTCGTTTTACATTTATCATTATAAATTTTTAACCAGTGATTATCAAATCAACTATTCCAAGCTAGTAGACGTAAGACTGGTTGCTTTCTTGCAATTCGTTTTACATTTATCATTATAAATTTTTCAACAAGCCTAGGAGATAAGTTTTGCATAAAATTTGCTACACAAAAATAAGTTAAAATAAAATTCACCGCACTAATAGTAATACTAGAAGAGATTGCTTCTTTTATCATTAATACACACTGACTGCTAAGGTAGAGAAGAATAAAAGTAGTATTTATTTGTAAAAGGAAACTTTATTAATTGTGCAATAATAGCCAAATGCTTAAGAAAACGTGGGAATATTTTTTTTTTATTTATGCAATACAATTTTTATGCGCTGCATCATAAAATTTGAAAAGATTCTGTAAATCCTTGAAGTTTGATTAGAGAGAGAGAATGGATATCAGATATATTCTGCGTATCAAAATTTTGTAGTAAGTTTTACAGTCCTCAAAAAATTTATTTTATAACGAAAATATCTGATGTGGACAATACATGACTTTGTACGACCTATTAAATTATACATAGTTTTTGCTACACTTCAATTAAAATCATTTCAAATTTCATTACAGTATTATTTCTCACTCAATCAATTCAGTTCTCATTTCAAGGCAAAAAAGTACATAAAAACTCAGATCACCTTCATTAAAAACTGTAAAATACAGCAAACCTAAAACAACAAATACAGTTAAAAAAACATTTCTTACAATTAAATTTAAAGTTTCTGCGCAAAAACAAGCAATTCGGGCAGCAAGCAGGATGACCAAATTTTCGGTGCCCAAAACTGACAATTTTCAGTGCTTTTAACTGAGTTACGTTTTGGTCCCACTGCACAAAAAGACACTGAAATTGGAGCACCAACAGATTTAATTAGTTGTTCTACTAAGAGTTTCAGATATAAACAGATGGCGGCCACGTTAGGCCTAGCGCCACTTAAACTTTTAAACTGTTGATAATTCCACAACTATTGCATGCAGATTAACTAAAGACGTACAAACCTTAACCGGAACATAAAAACAACAAATTTCAATTACTTTGAAAGCAAAAAATGCACAATTTATCAATATATAAGAATAAAAATAATGAACTAACCGAGCCAGATTACAGGGTGAAATATATATATTGGGGCACACGTTTTGTGAGACCGACTGCAAATAAAAAGATAACTTCACAACTAAATATTATAGCAGTCCCATATATACAATTTCAAAGTTCTACGACTGCTCGTTTTTGAGTTAACCAAGATAAATACGTACGTACAGACATCACGAAAAAATATCACGAATATGGTACCCGAAAATTTTCGCGATTACAATACTTCCTTTCTTTCGTAGAATGAAGTAAAATGAGATGCATTTTTTATTAACCACCCTCATTGTTACGGTTGTTAGAGGAAGTTTTCTATGCACTTTCGAGGCTCGGGTTTGGAATTTCAAAAAGACATACACTTTTCTAATAGTAATATCTTAGAAACTGGAGCTTTTAAAATCCATCTATTCAAAATTCCCCTGAAAAGCTGCTAGCAAGGAAAGACCGTATCCTATTTCCTCAAGTACTCTTGATCATAACTGGATTCGAATTAGACAGCTAGACTGCGTGTGCTAAGCCCTAATTAAATAGTTCAGTTACTGTAGTTAGAAACACTCAGTGGTTGCGAACCGGCTGAAAACTGCGAGCGATTTCTCTGAAAGGAAGAAAAGTAAACTGATTCGATATCATAAACATCATAACAACTAAAATATTACGTAAAGGGTTGCTGAAAAAATACTCTTTTTCAAACAGTACATTATAAAATCATCAACTTTATTTGTTTTGCAAATATGCTAATAAAAACGCGGTGTCAACCGTCACCAGTACGAAGTCTTTATAATATATATTATTAAGACAACTTGAGTACATTAGCTCCACCTTCATTTCAATTCATGAATGATAGACATATTCAGCAAAAAAAGAGGCTTTAATTGTTATCTCAGTGTTGAATGGTGTTTCGTGTTTTCATAAAGTTGATAATATTTTCCATCTGGTTTTTCATCAAGAGTATGGCAATAAAATGTTTAGACGAAATTCTTTTTTCATTTTAACACGAACGGCGAGGTTGTTGTTTATAATGCATATAACATTTATTGCGAACAAACAGCTGGTCGTCATGGTCACCGTTACTGTGTCATCTGCTTTTGCGCCTACAGACGACCTGCAGGCAAACAACCTCCAGCAACAATCAGTTATAAATTGGCAGCATTGTATCTATTTTCGAGTTGCATAATTAAAGAGACTTGTAATTAAACAGGTGCGCTGCTAAATAGAAAGAATTATCATATTGTTATTAGTTGTGTACACTGAATTCGGAATGCTAATGAAATTCAACTCTTGTATTATATTACTATTATTACATTATACACTCTGTATAAAAAAAATAGAATAGTTCTACGTATCCAGTTCTCCTGGGCCGATTGACGAAATTTAACTTGCGTTCTTCATGTCTCAAAAGCGTGATTTAGGATATATACCAGACTTATGTATAGCATTGTTCTAAATTAGGTATTTTGAATTTTTTTTAATTTTCAAATTCAACTTAGGGCTTCCACATGCCTATATTCTACGGAAGATTTCAATAGTCATATTTTGATGGCTTTAGGTACCGTTGTTTTATCACAATGCGAGAAACATACATACATTCATGCTAATTCTTTATTATTTAATTTCTTTAAATATAAGACATGCGATAATATTTGGTGGCAACACTTTGAAAAGTGATTCGTCGTTTCTAGTTTTCAACGCAAAATGCCAAACGAAATTAATAATCCTTCAGGGCAAATTGCTCCTTTGGACTTAAAAATAAATAACAAAAATAAATAAATAAATAATGTAATGTTGCGCGCTAACAACCTGCACGCAACCATAGTGGTGACTGCTATGAACAGGAAAGTATACAAAGTCTTGAGAAGGGTTTAAATCCCTTTTTATTCAACTTTAGAAATTACAGATGCGTGCTCTTGACGCTCACAAACTACGCCGACCCGGCGGTAAAATAAAAATAAGAAACTCAAAAAAGAATAATAACAAGTGACTAACTACGAGGCTCTCTAAACGTAACTAACCTAACCGCGTTCTAAGATACCGCTGACAATTCAGCAAACTTCTGAATATTACGTTGAAAGATTTAACAATCTGCCGAGGCAAGCACACAGGCCGAAACGCGTGGTTCTTCAATTTCTAACTAGCCACCTCCACGCTCGTGAAGCAAGAAGCACACTTTCGAACTCGTTTCCCTTCTATTTAACTCAGATTACTTCCGCTGACAATTTGAATCCTTGCGCGTTCTACTAAAATCTACATACTCTGGCATTGGCAATTCCAGGGGAAAGTAAGGCTTGACAGGAAAGATAGTTTAAATTTAAAATAAATGTTAGTTAAAATAAATATAAACCCTACAATATGTTGAACGGTTTTCAAACCAAAGTGGTCTTAATTGTTAAAAAATCGTCGAGT